CCTATATCCCACCCTCCCACCCCAAATTTGCCTGTTTAGGCTCAGATCAGTAAAGGCTTGGGTCTTGGAAGTCAGTGCAGTGTTGATATCATTTTAGCTCCTTGCATGAGATTTACAAGAGCTGTCCATGGTACTGAACCATATTTGCTCAATAGATTCAGCACCATGGATAGCTTCTTTTGCCAGCCTACTGACATGGGAGCCACCAGCCTCCACTGGCAGAGATGAATGGCATGGCCATGCACCCCACATGCATTTTAACTCTCACAAATGATACTTTCCCACTATTTCTTTTTGAGTGAGAATAAAATATGGAGAAAATGTAGACATGAACATAAAAGGTTTTCAACTGATGACATGGAAAATGCTGAAGGTCTCTATGAAATCAGGAAAGACTGGAAACCTTTGATTGCACCAACAGTAAGGAGGTCAGTAGGTGAAGCACCCACAACTGAAGAAATCACAAGATGGATCATTCTTTTAAAAAATCTGTGAAACAGCAGGTCATAAAGATAACATGGTGAAGAACACTCTAGTTTATAGTATGCACTGGAGATTAAAAGCAGAGAGTGCATGCCAGAGTTTAGCATAACCTTATCATTCCATCCAGGAGTGGGGAAAGTTTGACCCTCCAGGCTACACTTTGGAAATATAACTATTATGGCCTACAGCTTCCAGAATTCCTCAATAAGCCAAACAGTGGCCAGAATCCAGCAGAATATTCATGCCAGCAGAACCCCACTGGCATAACAGAGAGCAGCAAATAACTGTTAATTTACAAGTTGCCAATTGGCTTCTTCGTCGCACATGAGTTACATACATTAGTCAGCATACAGTATAACTAGGAATATAATCAGGGGACTCTATAATTATCAGCTTTTCAGCACTCCAAGTAAAACCCTTGCAGGTACACTGGTGCAAATATTAAATTAGATCCTCGGCAGTAATTTCTTTCCAAATTCTGTTCCAAATGTGAACTACTTTGTTACAAATAATGCATTGCATGTAGCTTCTTCCTTTTCTCCAATACCTAAGGCTTAACAGACTTACATTATTATTATAACACAACAAGGAAAACATTCTCGTTGAGTTTTTTTTGTTGTTGTTGTGTGTCTAAAAGAAGTGGATGCATTCACATAAAGTTGGTGTGGTTTTTACCCTGCAAATTAAATCATTCAGGATAAATGATAAATATATTTCAAAAAGCACCTGCTTTTATCTTTACTCTTATTCTGAGCAAAATAAGTTTGGGTTCAATACTGGGAATGAGATAAGACTCACATTAAATAAAATTAACAAATATAACAATGGGTGAATGCATATGCGTACTACAACTATTTCATTCCTTTTGAGTATTTACAAAGATGGAACTAACTATTTTGGGGAGCCTTGGGGGAAAGTAATTTGATCAATTTGGAAAAGTAACTTTTAAGAACCCACACCATAATTCTATTTTCTGCCAGCAAACTGTAAGAATACTTGCCATGAATCTTTATTAGCAAGGTAATTGAAGGATCATGGAAGGGGGTGAGCTTAACAGAACCTGCAAGAGCTTGGGGGCATGGCTTGCCCCAGATTTGCCCAACTCAGAAATGATGGGAGTTGTAGTCCAACACAGCTGGAAAGCAGGATCTCGGGGAATGCTGGCTCATCCCGCTGATTGTGTGTTGCAGTCTCTTCTGGGTGCAGCCACTTGGAGCAAAATCAGTGTTTTGATAGCAACAGGAGCAGCTGCATTGAGTTCCAGCTGTAGTGATGATATGCTTTAGGCAAACCATGAACTCCAGACCAACCTACGTCAGGCAATCCAGCTCTCTGTAAGTGGATGTGTAAAATCCATACCAACCCACCTCTAGAAGCCTCTACCATTCTTGGAATAAAAATACAGTCTTAAGACCATGTTCTGCTAGTACCTGCATTAAACCACCTTTTTAAAAAAATACAGACACAGGATTCACTTTGCAAGATTTAGAGGCAATAGATCTCTTTTTTGGAGCAGTACTTGAAAAAGGTGGAAGTTGGGGGGAGTATTGATCTTAAAGCAATGTCTTATGCCTGAAAGAAAAGCATACACAGGGTGTTTTATGCTTTGTTAATGAAGTAAGTAATGAACATAGTCTGAAAAGGAGTGCTAAGGAAACCAAGGAAGGAGCCCAAGAAATACCAATAAAGATCCAAAATTTAAGGAGCATCTTAAGAAATGTAAATACCATGGAATTCAGTTGAATGAACAGCCCATAGAGGGAGGAAAGTCAGAACAGAGCAACTATTTTAAGATAAAGAATGCAACATACAAGAAAAACTACAGTGGGTCTTGAGAACATGCATAACGCAGGGATATGTATTTTCTGTTCCCTCTCATAGCATGGAATCATGGACTCATAACAGAGGTAGCTATAAAGAAAGTTAAAAGTATTTCATTACAGGATACTAAGAATTTCTTGGATTGAGAGTGAGGCCAATGAAGAAGCACTAAGGTGAATGAATGAATACAAAGAAACTATGAAATGCATAAAATGCACAAATCTAGGATGATTTGGTCGTGTGATTGAACAAAAGGCACAGGTTGTTAAAAGTGATCATTTGAGATGAAATAAATGGGGAAAGAGAGGAAGGAAGGGGAATTTATGGACTGAAGAATCTGTGTGACTAGTTTGGAATCAGCCCATCACAATTTATAGCTGCCACATTCAAAGTCAGGAGAGCCATCATGATGCTCACCTTCCAGTAGGAACGGAGCGAGAAGCATGGTATTATCACACATGGATTTGGGACCCTGGCTTTCAGCAACACAGCTGCATCTGAATCTTAAAAGTGATTGCAACTGACTCCAGAAGAGTTAAGATACAAAAACTAGTGATTCATACGAAATCGGGTGTCCAGTGTTCTGGATGTTCATTATCTTTGAGAATCTTTATATATTAAAGCAGCACATTTGTCTCTGCAGGTAGAGTGTCTGGGTGCTTATTTGGCATTGATCTTTCCAGGTGAGGCCCCAGGGAGGAAGAAGAGGGACAAAGGCAATTAATTAGCATAATATAATGCAGATGCTGAGTGAGAACCTGACCCACCAGTTTGCCGTGGATGAGACATAAACGCTGCTGTTTGAAGGGCTGACTATGCTTTGCAATTACTTGAACGGGGCAAGCATTTAGGGTGGATGCAGAAAACTGATTCTTTCTCTCCAGCAGGGAGAAGGCTCCTTATTAAAGGCTTCCTCCCCCCTGCCAAATTTGCACCAACAGGATTTTGTCCAAACCTTTAAAAGTTGCTTTTTAAAACTCCATACTTGTTATGTCTTCAAAAATAATTACTTGTTGCTAAAACTTTTTTGTCACCTCCCACTGTCTTCTCTTTTTTTCCCAAAAAGGATTGGAAAGAGAATAGCATAGAATTTCATCCGTCTCACTAAATGGCCCCAAACATACCGAGAACCTGTAATGCCAGTGAAAGGATTTTGCTCCCAATTGTTAGATTCCATTCGCAATTCGTTGCACACATCCCATCATTTCAAGGGAATGGGTTCTTCATAATTTTGTAACTAGCGTGGTTCTACACAGACTCTCCAATTCAGTTTGTATATCAGCGCAGCGCCTCAAAATACGTCTCTATTTGATCCAGAGTCACTTGTGTACTGAACCGAAATGTGTTTTTCTCCACTCCCAAACTAAATCAGTTCCCATTGGATCCAAAACCTTACTGAAATTAGTCCCAACCAGGCCAATTCAGGGTGCGATCACACAGATACAGTTTGGACTACTTGTGTTGTGCTCAGGTGTAAGTTACTTCCTGGTGATCATATTATATATTGGCAACAGCATTCCAGCCCAGTCCTTATATATCCCTAAGCTGGACCTTTTTGTCAAGCTGTAGAGCTAGTACTTTTTTTGGTGGGGGGGGCAGGCTGGACTGATTCCCCAACAGATGGACAGGTTACTTTAAGACATTCACTCCCTGGAAAGTGAACTGTTTGGTTTGATCCCACATTCACCTTCCTCGCCATCCAATTGCACTGTCAGTTCAGAACTTGTAATTAGGGCACATCTTTATTACAGCAACTAACTCATCCTTCCCAAGCTTTGGGTAGAATCACTGTCACGGTGCAGCCACAATGGGAGAAGGCTATTCTCATGAAGCCCAGTGTATGGATTTCCCAGATGCATCTGGTTGACCACTGCAGGAAGCAGGTGGGCGCCCAAATCAAGTCTTGTTGTAGAGCAGAGTAGGGGCATCAACGAAGCAGATTCTAGACCCCAATAACAGTCATTCTAGCTTTTTAAAAATCAGTTTGCCAAGGGGCGTGCCTGTTCATCAATTAACTGCTTTACCTCTCAATATTTTAGCTACCCTCCCAACTGAAAATCCACAAGTGTCTGCCATCAAGAGTTTGCTACCATCATAACAAGAGATGGGCAGAAAAACAGAAAACCAGCCGTTCATGGTGGTTCATGACTCACCCTGGGAAAATTTGTTTTTCTGGTTTGTGTCCAGGTGACCCACCAGCAACTTCTCGCCTCCTCCTCTACCACAGGCCCACCCCCTTCCCGGTGTCCCCATTGCCTCCCCACCTAACCCTACTGTCACTTCCACCACCACCTCCTCCTTCTTTTCATCCTCTGCTGTCATTCTCAGAGGCAGCCGGGTGGCCTGTCCTTCCAGGATCTGGGCCCACTGCCTCTGTGCCTGCGACCGCCTACCAGCCAGGCAGCAGGCGCATGCTCAGCAAAACAGATCCCTCAAATGGGTTGCCAGCCGAACCACGAAACAATCCGACTTTTGCAGTCTTCCTGGTTTGCAGCCTGCGACCGCCTACCAGCCAGGCAGCAGGATCATGCTCAGCAAAACAGATCCCGGCTTTTGCAGTCTTCCTGGTTTGCAGTTTGGCTCTTGTCTATCTCTGATCATGACACAATCTGTCCACAGAACAGAAAGCTAATCTAAAATCAGTAAAGGAAAAGGAAAATGTGGTCCTTCCATCCGTCCGGTGCCACAAAACTCACCGTGTGGCCCAAGGTCAACCAAACCTCTTCGCCTATCTCACGGGGTTTTGGTAGGATCCGTGCATAGGTAGACTTGAGCTCAATGGATGGAAGATAAGATAGAAATGTCTACTGGAATGGTCACCTTGCTTGGAGAAATCCACCATCCAGGCTCCTAGCTGAACTCTAGCAGCAAACCTGAAAAAGCTCGGTTTTTGGAGATGCCTCATGGACCGTATGGCCTCCTCCAATAATTCTCAAACTTTTAAATGCTTTTATTCATCCCTGGAATAGTGGTTCTCTCTCTTCCATTGCCATCCCTCTGACTTCCAACCTGCCCAACATCTCAGCTGCAATATTCTCTAACGGCACCATTCTCTTAGGGCTCCAGAAGAAGTAATCCATGATTCACAGGAAAGGGATCTCCTCCCCTCGCTGGCATCCTGGCCCTGAGACATTTTAAGGGTTCCTTCTGTGAAAATGTTCCCCTCTAAAAAAGAAACATCCAAAATTGCTGTAAGAAACGTGTCTAGGTAGGCATGTTCAAAAGACTTAGTATGGTCTGTGTGCTGTTCTCCTTCCCTGTCAAAAACGCCTGCAACAAACATTTCCTCCTCACACACTTTAATATGTATGCAGGCATTTTTATTTTGTAGTACACTGGATGCTCTTATGCAAGGCCAGAACAGAATAGGTACATCTTTATTTTTAAGCCCTAACCACTTTAGGGTTGTTTTTCCCCCCCTTCCTTTCCTTTTCTCAATAACAATAGCCTTTGTTTCTGGACTACAAAAACATCTCCTTGGAGATGAGACCAGAACCTCGGAGGGAAGCATTTCATTTTGTGGAACTGGGACAAAAGATAGTACACCAGAGTCCAGCGAGACTTTAGACAGGCTCTTGGGGGGAGGCAGCAGATGGACCGAGGGAAGGAGGGAGCCTCACCCACACCCCTAAATTTAGGGGGGGCACCCACTTGCTCTGCACAGAAGCTGCTCACGGTTCTGAAGGGGAAGATCTGCAGAAATGGCCTGAGATATTCTACTGGTCTTATTGGAGTTGCTACTATTTCCCAGACTGGCACCTACAGATCTGTGTGGGTGTTTATGAAGCCACCGCCGGCAGCAGCAATAAGGGTGGAATCCTAGTTTTCACTTCAGTGGGACCTGCTTGTGGGTAGACCTGCATAAAACTGAGTTGTAAAAGGTGTTGCTTCATGGTTCATTTGCTTCATTCAAAGCCGCTTCGTTCTATTTGTTTTGAAACAGCTTTGAAGTGGGTTTCTTTTTCTCTTCTTTTCAAGTTTGAACTTTTTTTAAAAAAAATCCAGCTTTTATTCGCTTTGCATGTATCTGCTCGAGTGCTTCAGAGAGCACCAGTCTGAACATAAATACTAGATCTGACTGCGTAAGATTTGAATTGTGTGTCTTGGGTCAAATGCAGCTCTGCCCTCCCCTCACCCAGCCATTGGGCGCTTGCTGTGCGCAAAGAAAAGAGTGTAGGACAGCCTTGCCCAACATGAGATCTTTCAGACAGGTTGGACTATAACGCCCATCCTCCCCAGCAAGAATGACACCAATGGGTGAGCAACCCAACATATCAGTTTGAGCAGCAGGCCTTTCCCCCTCGGCTTCAGTCCACAAAAATAAAATTGCTCTCTGCTGATCTTTAATCTGGACACTGTATGTCCACACTGAGGTCCGTGGATATAATCTGGATGGATGGATGGATGGATGGATGGATGGATGGATGGATGGATGGATGGATGGATGGAT